TTCATAACATATTGCGTGGGAATAGAACCATCTACAGGCCTCCTGTTTGGATCTTTTCCTGTATAAGGAATTGCAGAACACATATAATTAGTTTTGGCGTCGCACATCATATGAATTTTATATTTTATAATTTTATATTTGTCTGGTTTGCTAGGTAAGTACATTTTGAATGGGCAGCGACCATTTTGAGAAATTATGTTCTGCCTCCTCTAACTGCTTTATTACTATATTTTCTCCATTTTGTTTTGGAATCCCTACCTAAATAATAAGGATGTTTTTTATCTTCTTTTCGCTTATTTTCAGATTCCAATACTTCTAGTTCCTCAATTTCTTTATTTTGTTCACCATCAGACTGCTTACTTATGTGATCAATTTCGTTTTCATCGTCGGAGTCCATAATTTCGTACTCATCATCTTCAAGTTCCTGCCAAAGAACTTTTTCGTAATTCATTCTAGAAAAAAAGTTTATGTGTACAACAAATAACGCCACGAATTAAAATTGTCTTAGTAACCTTACAAATTAAAATTGTGTCTTCGTCACCCAGGTGAGGTCTAATCGGATTACAGAAGACGATCAACTTACAACTGAAATTGGTTCATAATACCCAACGGCAACATGTTTTAGAAAGCTATAGGCAGCCAATAAAACATCCGTGTATTAACCATAGAATTATGCTAGTTCTAAGTGTATTGGGGGTACCATTAGATCCCACCTGGGTGTAGCAGGGTTAAAGTTGATTTCATGTAATCGAATGAACTATCTTACAATAAAGTCGTCCCAGGAACGCAACTCAGCAATATTGGAAATATCATTTTAGTTGTCTACTTTAAAATGTATAATTTAGGTCTGAATTGTCATCATAAATGAGTCAGATAAAATTAAATTATTAGAAAATTATTTCACCAAGTAACAAAAAACAAAATTTGTTTAATTTATCAATGCTTGTATTTTGAGAACGATTTCCGAAGTGGAAATTGAAACGTCAATAAACTTATTTTAACCTTAAATTGTGGCTTATTCCCAATAAAATAGTGCCTAATAAATGTAGTGATCCTAGATTCTGCAGATCCTAGACTACGATGATCTGAACGTTAAACTTAATAATAATAGTGACTTGAAACTAGAAGTTTCAAGAGAAGTCAATGTTTTGAAGTTATTTCATTATACTGATAACTAAGTATAATTAAAGTTCTATTTAATTATTATTACTAATAAAATTTTAAATCTGAGGGTGTATTGATTTCTTTATCCAACAGTGTAATATACTTCCCTAATTTGTTCATAATTCTCCAATTTGCAAGTCGGTCCGCGAATTCGTAAACCCGTAGTTGAAATTTGAAAGCGTGCCAAAGCGCACCCATTTGCTCGTTTACTAGAGCATCACTGTAATGACTCTAAATTAGCTCCTGCCAAGTGCCTCAATAATTCAAGTCCAATGCCATTAGATAAATAAAACTGCTAATGGATGCTTTTGATTTAAAATAAAGAATTGCGATTGGAAAATAACTGTAATAGTTCAACTTGTATTTCCGATTTTGATTTTATGTGATATTTACATCAGATCGTAGATTACAATTTTTAGTTCTACGTGAATAATTAATGTGAAAGGGACTGGTGTCAGAATATTTGGCAATCTGTTATAGAAATAGGAAACAGTCGGTTTATTTTAGCCTTTTTACGTTTATATGGGAAGTATGCTTAAAATGAACATTTTATCTATCTTTTCGACTCTATTGAAGATAATCTAATTCTAATTCATTTCCTAAACTAATTCCTTTGATTTATTTTAACATGGGTTTAAAGGCGTTGTTCTACGATGTATTTCTTTGTTAGGAATTAGGTCTCTCAGAGAGACACCTACATCTGGCGCTCCATAGCCAGAGGCACTCGCCAGATTCGCATTTCGAATCTTGCGTCTTCCATCTTGTTCATAGTAATATTAAGTCCGACCTCCAAGAAAGCGTGACATAATTTTTCAAAACTTACTATTGCATGATCCATACGATCGGTTGTAAGGACGATGTTATATAATAATATATAGTAATGTCGGTTTATAACGTTCTTAGACGTCTTCCGATTTCCAATCTCCATCTCATTCTATCGTTCCACAGTCGACCTCCAGTTCTCTTTCCATGATTTCTTTATCAACTCCTTCTCTCCAACTTCTTCTAGGCCTTCCTGATCTCCGCCTACCTCTTGGTTGCCATTCAAGAATTTGTCTTGGTATTCTATTCTCCGGCATTCTCCTTACGTGTCCGTACCATCTGAGTTGTGTCGTTTTGATGTCATCGACAATATTATGTGTAACCCCCATGATTTCTCGGACTCTCTCATTTGTTATTCTGTCGCGTCTAGAGACTCCCGCCGACTCTAAGCATTTTCTCTGTTCTGTCTTTTAGGGGCTACACTTCGCATCCATATGTTGTGATACTTTTTATTATGGATATTCTTCTTTTATTTTCCTTAGAGATGTTTTTATCCCACAGTACGCTGTTCAGTAAGGCTATGCCTGTCCTTCCCTATGTATTTCGTTCTTTAATGGCTGCATCTAATTTTCCGTCCTGAGTGATCATTACTCCTAGGTATTTATAGTCATCACATAGTTAGATCTCTTAATTTTCCTCTAAGACAAGGTTATGTTGATCTCCTCCGATACTCATGTACTCCGTTTTTTCCATATTCACTTCCAAACCCCACTCTGTAAACTCTTCTAATAGTTTTCGCATCATGTAACTAAGGTCTTCAGAGTCCTGTGCGATGATAACCTGGTCATCCGCAAAGCACAGAGTGTACAAAGTTAAGTCCATTAGTGGTATGCCCATATTCGTACATTTTTCTTCCATTTGTTGAGTGCTGCTTCGAGATATATTTTAAATAATGTTGGGGATATACAGCATCCTTGTCTTAGTCCTTTAGTCACTTTGAATCCCGGTGTTATCAGACTTCCTGTTTTAATTCTGGTTGTTTGTTGGTAGTACAACGTTTTTACCGCTTCAATCAATTCTATATTTATATTTGTTTTGCCAGTGCCTCCCATAATTTATCAAGCGGGACACTATCATATGCTTTCCTAAGGCCTACGAACGTCAGGTGGACTTCTTGCCACGAGCAACTTTCTTTTCAATTATCTGAGTAATAGAGAAGACATGGTCTATTGTAGATCGACCTGCACGAAAACCAGCCTGTTCTTCGGCTTCCATATCTTGGTATTCTTCTTCTATTCGATTTTTTATTATTTTCCAATATATTCTGCTAATACTACTAGTAACTGCAATTCCTCTATAGTTTTCAGGTTTTGATTTATCTCCCTTTTTATGGATGGTGCTTATATGCGATTCTTTCCATTCCTCAGGTAATTTATGTTTATTTATGCATTCCTGGAAAAGTTGTCGTAGCCGTTGAATTAGTATTTTGGGTCCATGTTTGATGAGTTCTGGAGCTCCATTTCCTGGGCCAGGTGATTTGCCATTCTTTAGATGTCTGCATATGTTTTCGACTTCTCTTTCATTTATTCTAATTGGTGATCCTATCAGCCTGACTGCCTTGTAGACCATAGTTTTCTAGCTGTTTGAAGGGCTCTCTTGTCTCTGTTAGTAAATCTTTAAAGTATTCTTGACGATGTTATATGCAAATCTCAAATGACTGAACTTCTCTCCATATATGTTGATACCATGCTGGTTTAGATGTGTCTTCTCATAATTATATTCTAAAAGCGTCGTAAATAGCTTTGAAGAGACTGTGTCTCCTTGCCATACTCCTCGCTGTATACAGAATTTATTTATTTCTTCTTCAGATAGTCTTACGCTAGCTGTGGCATACTATTGAGCTGAGCTCGCCGTACTAAAGCACTAAAATCCAATAAATATTTCTCAGATTTCAAAACTATTTTCAATAAACTTTGAGGGTATACAAGGCAACTATCGAACACGGTGATTAATTTAATCTTGCCCAAGTACTTTCAATCAATAGATCATCTTCAGGGCATTTCGTCAATTGTGGCCTATCCGACATAGTAAATGTCATAAATGTAAAATCTGGACATAACAATACAAAATACACTACACTAAGACAAACAAACACTTTAAAATTTATATGGAGAAGCTACATATTGTGAAGAAGCCGGAGACAGAATGGGCTCCCGGTCTGACGGAAATGTAGAGATGACATGTGATCTCTACATTTCCGTCAGACCGGGAGCCCATTCTGTCTCCGGCTTCTTCACAATATGTAGCTTCTCCATATAAATTTTAAAGTGTTTGTTTGTCTTAGTGTAGTGTATTTTGTATTGTTATGTCCAGATTTTACATTTATGACATTCTACTATGTCGGATAGGCCACAATTAACGAAATGCCCCTGAAGATGATCTATTGATTGAAAGTACTTGGGCAAGATTAAATTAATCACCGTGTTCGATAGTTGCCTTGTATACCCTCAAAGTTTAATTATTCGAACATTCAACCTTATATTGATTTATTTTCAATAAAGCTGGTAAATCAGATGTAGTTTATTAAATAAATTGTAGAGACTTACCTCGTTATACATTGGACAAGCGCGTTAATATTTACATAGGCGAATTATTGCACATAAAAATACTATCAGAAATGACAAATCAAACAGTACAGCCTTAGCTAAACATTATTTGAAAAATAACCATTGCTTATTATAATTATGACTACGACGACAGTGGCACAGCTTACATCTACAAGAAACTGTAAACTATAAACTATATGTACCATTCGTTCTTAAGAAATTCGCTCTGTTTCTCTATCATTTAATGTTATATGCCAATAGTATATCATAATATAAATATACCCAAGGTGTAAATAACAAAGTATTCTTTGGTAATTGCAATTCGCCAAAATGTTTGAACAACAATTAAGTCTTAAGAATTTTTAATTACATATTTTTCCAAGTCATAAAACATTATATTTCGGCATTCGTTTTAAGTTAAGTTTTCTAGATGGATATCAAATTATTCATTCGTGATTTTCCTTTCAGTGGATTTCGGCGTATCAGCCCAACTGGACCGGACAATTGGACGTCGTAATACATTCATCGGTACTCCCTATTGGATGGCCCCCGAAGTTATAGCTTGCGATGAAAATCCCGATGCCACATATGACAATCGCAGTGATCTTTGGTCTCTCGGTATTACTGCCTTGGAAATGGCAGAATCTCAGCCTCCTTTATGCGAGGTAAGCTTTTTTCTGATAAAATAAATTTAATATACGATATAAGTTCTTTATGATATGATACAAGTAAAATTTGCAAATTGGTAATGACCAAAATGGTAAATATATCTTATATTCAGACTTAGTGCTTACCAGAATGAAGATTTAATTTATGGTTTTATTAAAAAATCATTAGTTAACATGTTGACATGAGTTCGATATGTCTTTCAATTAGTACACAATAAAATAAAGCGGTAATGTGTTAAAGTTTCTTGTGTGTGGCACATCATGCTCAGTGAACACACACTTCTGTTCTGCACCAGAATTGCTCTTTCTTCCTATATCAGGCAAAATTTCTGATCTTAATAACAACTTTCTCTGTGTTTTGCAGATTCTATGTAATTTTCTATATTGAATTCTTGGTATTGACTTTTCTGTATCATGTCCAAGAAATACTCAATCGAGCTCAAATCTGGGGAACATATTGTCCTGTTATTCTTTTTAAAACAATTCAAATTGGCAAACACAATTGAATTGTTGTAAAGTCAGTAACGATTATGCTGAAAGATACACATACAAGAAATTTCTCAGTGTAGAAACCACATTTCCCAATAGAAATTTCGTATCATAAAAAAATGTAAAGTTGGGAGTTCCGCAATAATTGATCCTGTAAGGTATATGGATGTTCCTAATTGAGAATTGTCCTTCAGAGGCACACCAACAGCAGCCTGTTTCTGTGATTCCAAGAAGTCTTAGCACCTTGTTTAGTTTGAGGAAAGCACATTTTTGTTACACCTTTTTTCACCATGTCACTGACGAATTTGCAATTGCTATCGAAGGTAGTCGTCGCTCTCTTGGTTATTCATTATATCTGTTGAATCCAAGTATGCCTTGAATTTACTATTAAAGAACTCTCAAGGTACTTTAGTTCACTAGAGATCACTAGATGTTATGTTTGTGTACTTCCGCGGTTTTGAATACTTTTATAATATTGCTACAATGATCTAGTCTGCACGATGTTTAAGGGACTCTTTACCGCGGGGAGTTATGGTTCTTTCGAGGTCTCCTTTATTATCGGGTTTTAACGGTTTTCCCGCATTGTTTGTGATGATTTAACAGTTTCAGATTTATATCTTTAGATTTATAACTTTATATTTTTACGTGTACGCTCACAGGAGCTATTCATTTCTAAGCGCTCTTCTGAACGATCTCTATTTGTTTTTTATCTCGTAGTCCCAATATTGTAGGGGAGCTGTACTAAGCAGATGCGAGACTTTATGGTTTTGTAGTACTTTCGAAGCTACAACCTTTGGCAGTACTTACTTTTGTTTTGTAGTGGAGATCCAGTCCACTTCATTCGACATCAAAGGCGGATACGTTCACCTGAGCTGTCTACGCTGCCAAATAAATCCAAATATACAAATAAAATAAAAAAGAAGCAGTGTAGGGCCAGCTATAAATAATAAGTCAATTGAAAAAGAACTCTAACTAAATAAATACAAAATAATACCCTAAAATTAATCTGGTATCACGGAGTGTCTCTTTCTCTGGGTTTCGATACATGCAGTCTGAGTCAAAATGGTGAAAACTTTGAGTTATCGATGTCATTCCATACGTCCGTCTGTCCGTGAACAGAACTCCTCTGTTAGTAGAACGGAGAGAATGACAAATGAGGTGTAGCATGGGAGCTTATAAGCCAAAGATGGAGTAAAAGTGAGAAATTAACCTCGAACTTTCGGTTGCAGAGTTGCAAGTGGAAGTACTGTTCTAAAAGTGGCCCAAATAGTACAAGCGATATATTATTCAACGCCCCTTAGCAAGGCAAGAATAAATATACTTCCGGTTTTTATATCACTTTCGATTAATAAGTTATGACCGGAAGTTTGGCAAAAATGACTCAAAATTAGTGAAATCATATATCAATCGACGCAAAGTTGCATGAAGAGTTAAAATATAAACTTCCGGTTACGTTGGGTGAAAACCTAGGACTTACCAATAGTTTGTTTAATTAATATTTATTTAAAACCAACAATATTATATACTTTATTAAACAGATTAAATTAATCTATTTTCAGCTGCACCCCATGCGGGCTCTCTTCCTAATTCCAAGAAACCCTCCACCTCGACTGAAAAGTAAAAAATGGAACAAAAAATTCCATGGCTTTATCGAGACTGTGCTAGTAAAAGACTACCACGAACGGCCTTACACAGAGCAGCTGCTCAAACACTCTTTCATTAGGGACCAACCGACAGAGAGGCAGGTATGTTACAAGAATTTCATAGTTTACTTGGCTTTTATATATAATGCTTCAGAATTTTCTTAAACTGTTAACTTATGTATACATATGCTTACATGTTTGCGTATGATAAGCTGCAAATCACATGTAATCTGGTGTTTTAGGTAAGGATTCAATTGAAAGATCACATCGATAGATGTAAAAAGAGAAAGCAGGAGAAAGAGAGAGAAGACTACAGATACTCGGGATCTGAGAATGAAGAAGAAGAACCTCAGGTCGCCGGAGAACCTAGTAGTATTATTCAAGCACCAGGTGGTGATACTTTAAGAAGGAACTTCCAGCAAATTCAAGAAGGGCGCACCCTTAGCCAAGTGGAACCTCCTCCAAGGTAAGTGTCTTGTTAACAGCACTTTTATACCTCTTTTACAATTATTTCATACTGTCTGTTGATACTGAATTGATACTGTACTGTACAGTACTGACATACTGTCTATTGAAGTGTGTCATAGAAATTTATATTGTTCTATCATCTCTTAGAACATAATAAGGTATAAATAAAGGAATTATAATATTAGTGAAATGAAATTAGAATTTAGATGCCAGACTATTTAGTAAGTAGACAGTTGATTGAAAGGTTGAATAAAAATTTGAGCGCCAACTATTTTTAAAATAAAATAATAAAAATTAAATAAAACTTAATAAGAAAATTAAAGTTAAAATGAAAAATAATAAAAGAAATTGAAATAAAATAATTAAAATTAATAGCAGACATGTGACGTTTATAATGTTTTTATTTAGGGGTGGTAAAAATAAAAATAGGGAAGAAATTTATGTAATAATTTTGACAGATATATGTTAATATGTGACTCTATGTTTTTAGGGGTGGTAAAAATAAAGATAGAGAAGAAATTCCAGAGCCAGGACCACCTGCTAGACCTCCAATTCCTCAAAGAATGATAGTTGTTCCAGATCCAGCTCCCCCGCGAAGGTAAAATTTATATTTTGGAATATTACTATAGCTGAATAGAACACTGAGAACTTGATTTTCCTAACACTGTATATGCAATATTTGATAAAATACCAAAAGCACATTAGATTTAAATTATATTATAACCAGTCTTTTTATAATTTTTGAATATTAGAGATAATATTAGGGATAATTTCCGATAAACAATCGAAAAATCCTGAAGTAGATCATTCCTTCAAATCCGGTTTACAGTCCCACAGAAGCTGTTTCGAGGATTAAGAGTGAAGTGGTGACATCAGAAATTACAAGTCATTAATTGGTTTGTTTTCTGTGGACACCGTACAGGTCAGTCAGTATCTTATCTTTCGGTTCTTTACTGGTACCTTTATGTATCGACCTTTTTATTTCTATCCAAGAAGGTCTCAATAAGAAACTGAGCATTTGTCAGTAAACCTATTAGTACCAGTTATTTATAAGCTATTCAATTTGTTTATACCACTGATCTTTGATCGCAATAACATCAATCAGAAAATAATAAAGATCCGGCAATTCTACGGGTACCATATGAAAGAGGAAGAGTTGTACCACCAATATTTACTAAAAAAGTGAATTTTTTTCATTCGTCTTTAACTCATAAATATTTAGAATAACTTTAAGCTATTGCTTCTAATCTTTTTCCACATTCGAAAAACTTTTTTCGAATTTTTTACTTTATACATACAACTATTTGAAACAAAAACCTAAGGCAAAGATGATAAAACTCTAAATTCAAGTATAGATAAATCAGTTTGTATATAAGCAACATATTCTTCTTCTTTTTATGTAGACATAACTCTGTCTGTTTTTCAATGTGCCTCTAGTAAGTTGTTGTTGAGTTCGTTCGGTATTCTGTCCTCTCCTGGTGATTTTCTATTTTTTAATTTTCTTAATGCTTCCTTTACCTCTTCCTACTCAATATTTATTTCTTCATTTATCGTCACATCTGGTGTTGGTGGTTCATTATCATCACCTTTAGCTAATTTTTTCTATTTTTACTTTCCTTTTGACTGCAATATAGAGCAAGATTTCTCAATGAAAGAACTAATTCCATGGTTTCCAATCCTTTAATTATAAAAACGGTAGTTTAAAAAATTTTAATAAAAAAAACCTAATTATGCCCTAAAAATGGCCAGAATTAATAGTTTAAAGTAAAGAATCTGCTTATGAATATCTGTATAGCTATGAATATAATGTCTAGCTAGAGGCTCGAAAAACCATTTAGCTGAATAAACAAATGCTTCCTTTTGATATAATTGCTATGGGTAACTGTCGTGCAATTGCTAGTAAAATATTTTAATAAAAATTATTATTTTGAGAAAGCTAGTGTGTGTATCTGTATGTGTAGCAAAATATGTATACTGATTTAATAAATGTTGGAAAATTATTTTTATTAAGGGATGTATATTGTTGTAGGCCTTTACCGCCACCGCCTGATAACAACTTTGGCGCACCGAAGTCTCAAAATCAACAACAGCAAAGAAATTCGCAGCACCAATTCAAGCCGATGGTACGTAAATGTGGATAATGTATGGATTATGTTCTCTTAGACTTAGTTATTAGTTTGTGTACTAAACATTTGGTAGTTTTCTGTAATGTTATCTCGTTCTCAATTAACACATTCACTATTTGTTTTTACAGAGTTTTCATTTATTTCAGTTAACACTCTGAGCTGACCAAAAATTAATTTAGTGATTGGTTTATTCTCAAACAAATATTGGAAAGAATATTTAAATATATACACTTTTTTTAATGTTCTGAATGTTTTACATAGTATATGAAATTCCATGCAAAGACTGTCAAGGAGTGTATATTGGTCAAACAAATGAGCACCTACATTCTAGATTAAATTCACGTAAATATGATAAAAAAAAGGAACACGACAGACCTCACCAAACATGAAAAACCAAAACACACCTTCAATTTTGAACAAAAATTCTAAAAGTTGAAAAAACAAAAAATATATATACGAAATACACATAAAACAGTGCCCAAAAGGTGTCAGTGGCAAAAAGGGCGTAGATTTATTAAATAAAATTTACTTTAACATTTTTGTAACCCACCCTATATGCCATAAAAGTGTAAAAACATGAACCACATAATCTCTAACTTCCCATCCGAACCTCCCATCTCTTTCTATCCTATTTCAGCATCCCATTTGGTACAGATTAGGAGTAAACCTCATTTAACTCAAATCAGTAATAGATAGACAGTCAACAAGAACTACAATTTTTAAAATTCTGTCCTACGTTTTTAAGTTTCGTTTTAACTAATGTCATACACATTCTGATTACTGTATTGTTTTTACTTTGCCCAGGGCAATTGTCACAAAATAAAAGCAGTTCCTCCACACTATCTGGAACATAGTTTTTTATATAATGCAGCAAAAAAGAACGCACCTCGATCTACTAGGTACAATGGAAATAATCCGATAACTAGAATAAATACATAATTTATTCATTGAGAAAGAAATGGTTGTCAATAAAATATTAATTTTTAATACAATAAGACAGTCTTGAGATACCAAATCACTAAACTAATTTTGGTCCAAATCTATAGAAATAAGCTGGTTTTTATGTATAATTACTTCTCAAATTCATTACAGAATATCTCTGTTCAGAAAGAGTGTATGCATTCGACTTTTTTCTTCAAAGAAACAAGTGTCATTTCTTTAACAATTAATGCTACAAAAGAAATATCCACACATAATCTTACAAGTACTTGATTCAAATTCGGACCCTTTGATATCGAAATATTTGGATTATATAAAAGAAATGACTTTATTTTTGCAAACTTTCTAATATTTACACGGCATATTTCACCGCACCGAGATTTAGCAAAATGTACAAAACTGAATACTTAAAATGTTTATTGCAATTTTATAATTAAGACTTGTATCAAGAAAATACCCCACATATTTCTATGAAAAAATACTTAACAATTGCGCTTCTTGCGCAAAACTACATTTAACTTATTGGCTTATTCCCATTTAAATAGTAATTACTTTAAAATGCCACAAGAAAATAGTTTCAGAACAATATTAAGTTTTCTTCTGTTTCGTGCCCAATATTTATTAACATTTGGGTATTCCTTTTCCCCTATAGTTTCCTCTGACACCATTCTCTGTTATTTTTTTAATGGTTTCCTATACATAGATCTAGAAACTTTCGGTTTTGGTTCACCATAACTTGATGGGGCAGAACCCCGTGTTCGGGGTTCGGACCAATACTTCCGGCTGTGCTCATGCGGGGAATGCTTCCCTTTCGCTCGGAACTCTCGGTAATAGTCTTAAGTGTGTACGCGGTTTATTATTACATTTTTCGGTCATTTCACGATTAGTAAGAGGACGGTTTGACCGCACTCCTGTGTATGAGATGCTAGTTTTCAACATGTCCTTCATCGGTCGAAATTGATGACCGAAATCATATTAACATGGGCTACTTCCAGCCTTCTTTAAACTCCCCAAACCACTAGGATATTGTGACCAACCCAAATATTCATCCACAAGTTTCTCTTGCAACATTTGAAAAGTTAGTAATAGTTTGTAAGGTCTTAAGCCAGTAGGCAATCATTTTGGTTCGATAATTTGGTCGCTAGACGTAAAACAAACAATACAGTTTTCAGCGATACAACCGTCTTACCACAAAAAACGTTCGTCTAATTGTGTATTGAAACGAAACTTGTTACTCTTCATTTAAATTCATCTTGCATAAATATTGAAAAATCTCAAAACGCGGAAAAGTTGTTCTACATAATTTAGCGAAATGTAGCTCTTTTTACAAAAACGAAAGCAATTGGGCGTTGGAGAAGTATCAGAGTTTAGATCGAATCACGCGAAAAATACTGCCAATCGCACTGCGCTTTTTTGCGATGTTGCCAAACATTTCGAAAAGCATAGAATTTAATGATCAGTCCTCGTACCTTCTTTGAAGTATCGCTACAATCAGAAAATGGCAACACACACTTATTATTAAATTTAATTGTATCTTAACATTTAAAAAGGGCACAGTGTGGTGAAGCATGGAATGTATTTTTATTTTATATAATATTCGATCACTAGTAAGTAAAGGTCTCCTAATTTTCATATGTTGAATTGATTGGCTCCACTTAATCTTGGACCAATTTATTGTTATGTATATAAAAAAATTATATATATTATAAAAGACATTTCTGTAAATGTCTGTAAGTGCAGAAAATATTATTAAAATGAATTAAAGTTTAAAAATTCAAATCTTGCAACACTTATTTCTGGATAGAGATTGTAAAAACTAATAATTCGACCTATATTTAAAAAATACTGATAATTAATTATTAGTAATACTTTTTCATTTTTCTAATTTTAATTTTTGTTTTGGTAGCACTGCTTTCTTTCTAATTTAGCTCTTCTGTTTATTTCATGTCCATTTGTCACCTCTTACAGCAGGGTCCTGCACGTAAGCCTGAGGTAGGTTTTTGTTTTATTTTTCTATCACCATTTTTCTTTTTCTTTTGGTATTAGTACTTTGATTGTTTTAACATATGTGTGAGCATATACAGTACGTTAAGTTTTAAATTAGATATACACACTATAAATGGCAACACTTTCCGCGAACCTCTGTTGACCCGTCGCCAATAATTTGTCATTATACAGTGGTTGTTTAAAGTAATAACAGCGTAGATTTTTAATTTATTTTTGTAAAAGAAGGTTCAAATAATAACATGGTGTTATGGTGGTAATTCTGGACAACAGTGTGTATATTTATTTTCTGTTTTTCGAGGGGAGACCAATTCTTTGCGTACAGTCAATTCATAATATTGTTAAAAAATTTGAGAGTTGTTATTGCCTCAAAAATAAAGAAAAGTCACGTTCAAGAAGTGTTACCAAAAAATTTGAGGAAAGAGAATACCGGGATACACAAATTTGTGCAACAATCGAGGTAGATTCAACACGTTCGAGTAGAAGCGTTGCTAGATAGTTAGACGTTAGCAATGTTACTGTAAAAGCACGGTTACAAGAGTTTTAAATTTTTATCCAGGCGACTACTTTCGAAGAATGGAGTTTTGTGAAACTCTAATAACGAAGGCTAATGATAAACCAAATTTTATTAAAAAGATTTTATTCACTGATGTATTGGACGAGGTATTGGGCGCGGGAAAACAAGCACAGAATTGATGTTTACCGAACTCAACGTCTTCAAAAGCCTAAAATCTGGACTGGCATTTTGAGAGACCACATAATAGGTTCATTTTTTTATTGAGGGCAACTTGAATAGTAGAGTATACCTCGATTTGTTACAGAATCATGTTCTTCCCGCTATTCTCAATCTTCCTGATGTCAATCTGGAGAATGTTTGGTTTCATCAAGACGGCTGTTCAGTTCACAACACTCGGATAATTAGGGAGTACTTAAACAATACTTTCATAATGCGGCTAGAGCCCAAAATTTGCGTGAATGAAAAAACCTAATAAGATAAGTCTTCAATTCTGTTACAGCAGAAACTCTTTCATCTATCCGCAGAAGTTTTTGTGATAGATTGGGATACTGTTCAGCCTTAGAAGTTCAAATATTTGAATCATTACTGTAGGACATATAGAATTATTTCTTATTTTATTAGCAATTAGTTTTTATTTTTAATAGAATATATTTTTTGTTTTCTTTTTAAACAAATGCGCTTTTATTGCTAATTCAACCACAAAAAATTGTTCAAATTATTAAAAACCTATACAAATGCACCACCTCATAAAGGTCAGTGTATTTTTATCGAGTTTATGATATAAGAAATGAACAGGGCATACGTATGAAAACAAATATCGACGCACAGAGGTGTATATCCCATGCCTTGTTATGTATTACTAAATGTTTTTCGTTTTTCCGTTTTCTGTCTAGGTGTCGGACGGGATTTGAGAATTACAATTAAGTAGATCGGAGAGGCAATGTTACCGATTTTAGCTCTGTATGTAGTGTGTAGTATTTAATCCAAAACTTAACGTACTGTATCAATTTTAATTAATTGGACTAAATTTATTGTTTCTGTCAAATAAAAGTGCACAAAATCAAGATAAGTGAAAAAAAAGTTACTCACGCAAGTTGTATTTAGATTTATGGCAAAAATGACCACGTTTCTTAAAAGTATTAGTACTTCACAAAGCAGCGACCACTAAAATTGTAACGTTAGCGGTTATTGAGAAAGTTATTTATACTGATATTGCATTTTGTCATTGTAATGTCATATACGAGTACCACAAAGTCTGCAGCTTAAGTTTCTATAAAACGATTTGAATGACTTGAAGGAAAAGGAATTAAGGAAAAGAACAAAAGTCCTTTTTGGAATTGATTAACTGTATGTCAAAGTAAATAAACATAAAATAAATAAGTTAGTAGAATACATAAACTTAATGTTAAGTTAATCATAATCACCTTTAATCATGATTAAACTTTAGAGACTCTGCCAAGAAAATATCAATTAAATAACATACCTAAATAATAATATAAATCTACTGAAAATCCGAATAAAATGTGGTGTTAATCAATTGGATATAAAAACTAAATGTGTGTCTGTTGAATATAATGTAAATAATAATTAATAGATACTGTTTTCGAAATCGGCAATATTGCATTATCTTTTAAATCAAATACAAAGGTGGAAAGTACCTGTTTACAGCATATTTATTTCTCGGTCTCACATTGAAAGAAGTCCCCAACTAGTTTATTACTATTAATTAAGGGTTAAGGTTGACCAAGTACTCCGACATTGCAGAATTGATACGGTTTGAGAAATACAAGTCGTAATTAAGAACGATATTGGTGGTGAAACCGGTAGAACTTGGAACCCTGTAATTAGTAACAAATAGTAACTAGTAAGTAATACAAAAATAAAGAAGAGAATTATAATATATCTTACCCAATTAAAACAAGCGTCTCTCGGCTAACAAAGAGTGTTATATCTGGCTGCAGATGGAAAGTGACAACATTTTGGAAGTTTAGATACATTTATATAGAAAGAAAAAACTATCTATATGATTTTTGATGTTTTAGATGAAGAAACGATTGGATTTTTGACCCTGGGTGGAATTATTATAAAATAGTTTAAAATATAACAGAATTTTTTATCACATTAAAAATTTTGCGAAGCATAAAATGAAAATTATATCTTGTTATTTAGAAGAGGAATAAATGACTATACGAGATGTTTAACAATATTAGCAAAATAAAAAGAAAATAAATAAATTGTAATGTGCATGCTTTTTTACACTTTGCAACATAAACAACCTTACAACACAATTTATGAGAGTCCTCCTAAGGCGGGTCCAGTGTATCACCCCTATTATATGGACTAGGTCCATAAGTCCCTGGTCTTTGACGTTTCTGGGGCACAGGCTGCTCTGGGCTCAGCAAGGCTCTAAATCTGAGCTCTTCCTGCCGTCCCGAACCTTAGGAACTTACATAAAGCCACAAATCTCTTTAGATATATCTTCTTCATTTGGCTCGATTGCATAAAAGCCAACCTAGAATCTGCGACCTGTGATAGGCCAGAGCCATATTGATATAGTACCAGTCCAAACGGTTTGTTTTTGTTTTTGATTTTTTTTATCTTTTGGTTTTTTCATTTTTTTATGAATCAATAAAAAATTTAGTGTAAATTAGATATTTACGGAATTTGGTCCAGTTACTTAACTTTAAATGATTCATTATCAGATCTTAATGCTAAGTTCATGAAAATGGAATGTAAAGGGGTAAACAAAACGTACTTGCACTCTTACCTTCTTTGCTCTATTGAAGTATTAGCTTCTACCAATAAATGAAGTTACTACTTTTTTGATTGCTTTATTTAAATGTATTTGTACTGCTTATTAAACTATTTCTTATAAAATAAAAGATCAGTAGTTCTGACAATCAAAGTGTTTGCTATAATGTAATCGGTTTTTATAGAGACAATGGCGTGCACGCTTTGTTTTATAATGAGTTTATTTTTCTTAATCAAAAGGAGATCTTTGACACTTAAATGCAGATGATTGGCATTTCAGCGTTTTTACAAATCATATATGAATACATGCATATTGTATTCAAATTTTATTAAATGCTAAAGGCGTGTTGACACGATCCTATATTGCTTGAATTCCAACTTGGACCAAGTGGACTTGTACTAGTGTACTTGGTTGCCACGGTTAAATGTCAAATAGCCATTGTAAAGATGGCGGAAGTGATTGTGTGGAAGGTGTTCTTGTGGTTGCTGATATGTTGATACATGAGCTTGATATCCAGAAACAAGGAATAAAAAAGAAAACATGCCGCTTGTCTAGCATCCTTATTTTTATAGTCCTAATAACATACATTTCATAATGCTTCCTCAGCTTCGTATAACTCCACTTCGTCTTAACACTCTCCCGTTAAAAGCATTTCCTTTTTGTTTTTAATTCTCGTTTTCGGTTTTTCGACACCGACGCCATATTAATTTTACAATACCACACTAATTGGATTCAAGGAAGTTGGCCAGCGTCCTTATTAACTTGGATAGAGCCTGTGGTTGGGTTTACCCAAAGTACAAGCTGAATATAGCCGCAAATTAAGAATTAAAATATTTTGGTTTGGCAGTGTTTAGATGTTTTTAGAATGCATATGTTGTATGCTTCAAATATAAAGAGAAACAGCTTTTAAAAAGTACATATAGATTGTACTATTTTATGAATTCTGAATTCTGAAACAATAACGAGTAAATATTGGTTCTCTCAAGAATAATTTCAAACATCTGTTGCAATCTGACAACTGCTGATTTGACGATTGCCAAATGTATTCCTTAATCTATCAAAGGGCAATTGCCAAAAAATTTCTAATAATTAACTGCAACTAATCTCCAAAGAAACAAATATTTACTCATTTTTGTTTTATATAAATCAAAAATTGCAGAATTCATAGCATAATATAAACAAAATGTACTTTGGAAACGCTTTATCTTTTTAAGTAAAAAAACGTGCCAACACTGCCAGACCGAAATTTTTTGTTCCATGTTTGACATTTGCGGCTATAATCAGCTTGTACTTTCGGTAAACTCAACCGAACCTGTTGATATAAATGTACTTGGATGAACAGGTGACGCGATCAAAGTAGCTTCAAGTGTTGCGCGTTCAATGTCCAAGCAGACTTTAACCAAGTACACGTGGATTATGTCAACCTGTCTTAAAAATAAGCTAGGTTATGTATATTTCAGTCTGAGCAAGTGGCTAAAATCCCAAATAGCTTTTATTATAAAACCATAGACTACTCATGATTAGTTTTTGTTCAATGACTCTAATTATTATACGTTGTAGTATGGAATATTATAACTATATTCCACACTATTTATTGCATTTTGTGTTTTGTAATATGCTTTAAACAGCTTATTATGTAAAAAGCTTGTTGTTTGCTTTCGCTCATATTCATTTACTTGAATGTTACCAAACTTAATTACATCTCTTTCAGGAACTGGATGCTCTGGCTGCTCATTTGAACGAACTCGGCGTACAACAAACGAACCAACCCGAGGCACCACCCCGAAACAGAAACTACAAGCAATCACAATCGGCATCTAATAACAACGTTACAACTCCAAGCTCAGCGGTGAATCATACACCGACCAATCAAGGCGGCAATAATATTGATAGTTTAGTTGATAGTGAGACTGATTCCGAACCAGAAGACAACGGTAGAGTAAGGAATGATGGAACGCTGTTGGCTAGCGATCCTCCCAAACCGCTGTGAGTATAGACTTTGAGCAAAAGGATATGAATTTAAAAAAACGAATAAAGATTTAATGAATTGTACTTAATTATGATGACCTTAAAAATCGGTATGTTAAGTGCTTCGACCTTTAGCGGTGAGTAAAGGCACTATTAATGCCAGCTCCCACACGGCTTTTATTTGAAGTAAGTTGCATGTAACATCTGACTATTTAAAGGGGAAAAACGTCAATTTGGTGCACTACCAAGTGCTGAGGACTTGTGATGTCTTTGCGTTCCCCAGAATAAAAAGCAAACTATGAGACGGTCTAGGCCAGGCATACAAAAGTCTCATTTCTGAGATATCTATTTTGGACTGGCATAAATGCTTCCACGATTCGTTTCTCGAACGCGAATACAAAAAAGTATTGATTTTAAAGTCGAACACTTGAAGAACAATATATTCTTCTTCTTTGACTACCATGCCCAAATTTTAGGCGTGGGTAGCTTTCATGATGATTTGTCGATATCGTTCTCGATCTTGCGCGGCATGTAATAATTCATCTGCTGATACGCCAGTCGATTGACGAAAGTTTCGGAGCCATGAGTATTTCTTTCTACCAATTCCTCTTTTTCCGTCGATCTTTCCGTTGAGTATCAACTGCATTATCCTGTATCTGCTTCCTCTCATTATATGCCTTAGATATTCGAGTTTTCTCTTTTTTATCATCTATATTAAGTCACCTTCACCTTGACCTACTCTGTTCAAGACTTCTCTGTTTGAAATGTGTTGAACCCATGATATTCTGAGCATTCTATGATATAATCACATTTCGCAGGCTTCTAATTTGTTCATCATGTTAACCTTCATAATCCAGGTTTCACATCCATACAGTAATACAAGATACACATAACATTTTAGGAACTTAATTCTCAGCTGTAAGTTCAGCTGAGAATTGCTCAGAATAGATCTAAGTTTCATAAATGCTCGTCCTACAATTTCTATACGAGTTTTAATTTTTTAGCCGGATTTAGTGTCTCGTTTATCCAACGTTTTGTTATCGGTTCATTATTGACAATTAGTTGTATAGCGCCGAGGTCTTGTTTAATAACCACAAGTAACTTTGTAATTGTTGTATTTATGCTTAGTCCGTTATTAGAGCATTCTCTAGTGACTCGATCTATAAGGAATTGAAGATCTTCGATACTTTCAGCCATGATTGCGGTGTCATCTGCATATCTGATGTTATTATTAGTTCTCTCCCCTGATTCGAACTCCACATTGCCCTTCCAAGGCTTTGTTAAAAATTATTTCTGAGTAAACGTTAAACAAAGTTGGGGACAACACACATCCCTGTCGTAACACCTCTTTGAATACAAATTTTGTTTGTTTCTTTAGAAGAACAATATGTTTTCCTTCTGTTATTTGTGCAAAACTTTTGGTGCTACACTCGTACGATGTAATTACATCCAAGAAAAAGCACGCTAAACAATTACACATGCAGAGATCTTGATCAACGCAAACAAACATAAACCTGTCTCGGGATACCACTCGCCTTATCCTTTTTTTATCTCTTAGGAATATTCGGCCAATCATCATTAACCGTTTTTAATCCCATGCTGAACATAGGCTTTCCGTAAATAATTACATTGTATCCAATCTGGAGAACCTTAAATCCAGTTGTGCTGGATGTGATTGATGTCGTCCCACCGCCCTGTTGGAGGATGTCCTCGATTACGATAAGCATCGTGTCTAGGTCTCCATCCTAAAAGTTTCTTGTTCCATCTTGCATCTTTGACTAGGGCAACATGTCTTGCCCAGTCCATTTCTGCGTTGTAATTCTTTTAATTCCGTCCGTAACACCAGTGTTCCCTCTAACTATTTGATTCGAAACTCTTCCTCTGAGGGATATATTCAACATTCACCTATACATTGGCTCTCTGTGCCACTGTATCTTACTGATTACTTTTCTGGTAAGGGTCAATGTTTCTGTTCCATACGTTAGAACTAGGAGTACTCATTGATCAAAGACCTTCCTTTTCAAGCACATGGGAATATCTGATTTAAAAACTTCCTCAGTTTTCCGTAAGCTGCCCATGTTAGTCCTATTCTCCTGTTTAACTCTGTTGGTCGTTTGTCTCTTTCTAATTTAATTTCGTTGCCCAGATACTTATCGATGTACACTTATTACATTTGTTTTCAGTTGAAATGTTTTTGGCCGGACATGTATTGTAGGCCAATAAAATTCATATAGGAGAAAAGATGATCACGCTAAATTTATGCATTTTGCGTTTTCATGGCTATAACTATACTTATACTATAAACCTGTGTGCTACTAACTCAAAAGACTGAATTAGATCGAATCATGAATGTGTTGCTTGTGTGAGTCCATATCAAATAGGTAAAGAAATAATAATAAGACTTACTCACAATCAATTTAATTTAACAATCTGACGACCGGTTTCGCTTTCTATAATTTGCAAAGCATCTTCAGGTCGAGATACAAAGTTAAACTAATGCTGCAATAAAATAAACCCAATTAGGGTGGTGTCTCATAAAGATAAAATAAACAAATAAATAAATTAGTTCATACAAATTATAGTAATTATGCCAATATTACATGTCTGTGGTTTTCAAAATGAATAATTTGAATATATAAAAGGTATTAACAGACAAGGTAAGGCCCACAATTGGTATAAAGTAGCAATCTTATGTTGTAATAAATTAATAAATGAGCAAATAAATAAAACAAAACAAAACAAACATTACTTACATGCCGGTACTCTATTAATTGATGGATGGTAGGTCATGGTTGCAAAAATCATGTATTGTTGATTGGAGAACTTTAATGTGCTATTGCAGTTGTTTTTACAATAAACGGGAAGTTCTTGAGGAGAACAGATTTGATCCAATGAATTAGAGATAGTCTATTGTGTCGTTTGACAGAAGAAAGTGATGTTCTTTACTATTGTATTATTTAAATTATTTACACTTATATCAGAGATATATTTTTTTTTTTTTGGAATGTGTGTTATTTATTGAGTAATTTATGTAATAAATAATCAATAAATAACACACATTCCAAAAAATATATCTCTGATATAAGTGTAAATAATTTAAATAATACAATAGTAAAGAACATCACTTTCATCTGACAAACAACAACAATATACCTATCTCTAATTCATTGGATCAAATCTGTTCTCCTCAAGAACTTCCCGTTTATTGTAAAAACAACTGCAATAGCACATTAAAGTTCTCCAATCAACAATACATGATTTTTGCAACCATGACCTACCATCCATCAATTAATAGAGTACCGGCATGTAAGTAATGTTTGTTTTGTTTTATTTATTTGCTCATTTATTAATTTATTACAACATAAGATTGCTACTTTATACCAATTGTGGGCCTTACCTTGTCTGTTAATACCTTTTATATATTCAAATTATTCATTTTGAAAACCACAGACATGTAATATTGGCATAATTACTATAATTTGTATGAACTAATTTATTTATTTGTTTATTTTATCTTTATGAGACACCACCCTAATTGGGTTTATTTTATTGCAGCATTAGTTTAACTTTGTATCTCGACCTGAAGATGCTTTGCAAATTATAGAAAGCGAAACCGGTCGTCAGATTGTTAAATTAAATTGATTGTGAGTAAGTCTTATTATTATTTCTTTACCTATTTGAATTAGATCGATTTATTCAATCCAATATGTACGTATAGCGTTAACAGGCCTTTTAGGCCCATTGCTGGATGGATAATTTCCATCGTTTTCTGTTCTTAGCTATCAGCTTCCAATCTCTGATTTCCATCCCTCTGACAGCTTCCATCACTACATCTCTCCATTTCTTTCTTGGTCTTCTTCTCTTTTTTTGTTGCCCTCAGGTACTCTCATTGCCCTCAGATACACTTTTGCATTAGTTTGTCCTCTCCATTTTTCTACTACTTTGTCCACCAAACATTCTGCAAAGTATCTTTCTTTTCCATGCTTTCAAGCTGTTCTGTATGGTTTTGTTCATAGTCCATGCCTCGGCAGCATATAGCATTGTAGCTCTAACTATAGTTTTATATGCTCTTATTTTTGTATTATGAGATGTATCTTTGACCTTAATTAGTTTGCTCATGGCTCCAGCAGACTTGTTCAGGTTCTTCCTTACATGTCTGATCAATAAGAGTACCTAACTACATATACATATATTTATCCACCTTCTCTGGGAGCCCCTGGTGTTTATTCCCTTTTTGCTCGAGATTTCCATGTACTTGGATTTATTAATATTAACTTTCAGTCCCATTTTAGAGCTTTCCTGAATCAGTCTTTTTGCTATACTTGTCAGTTCTTTTCCATTTCTTGCAATGAGAACCACATTATTAGCGTATGATCAGCATTGGTGTTTTTTGTATAAAATAGTGCCGGTCCTATTTATCCCACTAACCCTTACAATTTTTTCTAGAACCGCATTGAATAGTAAAGTAGACAACGGGTCTCCCTGGCGAACACATTTTTTCGCTTCGAATTTATCTGAGACTGTACCGTTGCATTTCATAGCACAAATGGTTTGTCTAATTGTCATTTTTACCAATCTTACTATTTTTTCTGACATTGGAATTCTTTTAGCGTTTCTATTAATTTGTTTCTGTCTGTTGTATTGTAGGCGGCTTTGTAATCAATAAAAAATACTTGTGCAAATGTTGTATTCATAGCAATTCATCAGGATTTGTTTTAGCATAAAAAATTTGATCGGTTGTTGATCTTCCCTTGCGAAATTCTCCCTGGTATTCTTCTAGATTTTTCTCTACATATATTTCTAATCGTTTTTTAATTAGTATGGCGAGCACTTTATAGATTACCTCTGATAAGGATATTCCTCTATAGTTTGCGCATTCAGTTCTATCTTTCTTTTTGTGTTTAGGAATTATAATGGACTTGTTCATTCTGATGCATTTCTTCTTGACGTATCTCACGAAGTTGGTTTAAAAGCCTCTCCTCCATATTTTAAGTTCTCTGTCACAATGCCGCTCTCCACGGGGCTTTTTTGATTTTTCGTATCTTTTATTATTCCTTCAATTTCTTCTCTTATGGGCTTTGATATTTCTTCTATTACTGTTTGAGGTTGTTAGGAACATTATAATTTTCTTCAGTAGTTAAGTTAAGATTAACTCCGTCCTATAGCACCTCTTCGAAATATTTGGTCGTTTCACATATTTTGTCTTCGTCCACTATCATTTCCTGGCTTATATTTTCATTAGTAAAAGATATACAGATATTCAATCCAATAGCTGATCTAAATTGAAAAGCATATTATTTTATTAATAAACAGTTTTTGTAAAACAATGTATCATAATTTCTTCGGTTAAATGACATGCGAATCCTAAAAAACACTTGCAAAAGTTGTTTTTCTTAATTATCTTAATTTTTAATAATATATTTGAAATACATTTTCTCACTAATTTTATAAACGCACGAATAAGCAAATACTAACACTCAATTTTATTCCCCTTCCTCCCATTTTTTACAATCATATTTAATTTTAAAAATTACTACGTTTTTATTAATTATTTTTTAATTAACTTCTCCAAAAAAAAACTTATTTACATTTTGTTTATTATACATTTTTATTTACTTTTGTTTCCTTTCGTTTTTTTCGTTTCTTTTGTTAGTCCCGAATTCTCTTACAGAGCCGGTCTAGGTGTAGTTCCAGAAGGGACAGCGAGCGTATCAAGTCCAGGAGCCACTGCAGGATCCGGATCAAGTTCCTCAAGTGCTCCCAACAGACCGCTACCTCCAACTCCAGATGACGACGAATCTCAGGGCGACCGAACACTTGTATTGAGGAAGGTAAGTTTTCATTTGCTTCTTTACTGTGAATTTGTCTTTTTAAGAATGATTTTTGTTATTTTGTTTTATTTTTGAGGGAGTATCTTGGTGACTGTATAACTTTTTTATTCACACATGTAAATATTGCTTTATTTCATTGTAAATATTATGTATATTTCCATGTATATATTTATATATGTTATAAAGTTTTGTAGTATGATTCTATAGTATTATTTTTATTACTAAATTCAATACTGAATTTAACCTAAGATTGATTTATATTACAATTTATATTCCCGACAATACACGCTTGCAATTTAGACTCACCCGATACAGTACAGTCGACTCGCGTTAATTCAAACCTGCGATAATTCGAACCTCTCTATAATTCAAAGTTTCTACATCAGTTACCTACAAAATCTCTTTATATTTCGAACTAAATCAATACATTTTTATGCACTTGGTAATTCAAACGAAAAAAATTATTGCTAAAATATTTATATAACAAAACGATGCGTTAATTCGAACTCATCGGCGTCCAACACTCGACAATTCAAAGTTGCAGAGAGAAAAAGGCGGAAAGATTGTAGTAAGTACAGTTTGACGATTGCTGAAAAGAAGAAATTTGTCCAAAAAGTAGAGGAAGTTGATAAGAAAATTGATGTTGCAAAAGAATTTAAGATTCCTCTGAGTACTCCTCTCTCAATCATAATAACGCACAAGGAGAAAATTAATGCTGGAGTACGGAAAAGAACTACTAAAGGTGAATTTCCTCGTCTGGAATCAACTCTGGTCATTTGGCTAAGACAGTGTAGAGGACAAAAAGTGTCTATTAGCGGAAACTTGTTGAAGGAAAAAGCAAAAGAGTTCGCGTCTACTCTAAGCATCAAAAACTTTGCGGCAAGTGAAGCGTGGCTTACAAATTTCAAAACCAAGAAATGGAGTTGTGTTTAAAAAAAAATTGTGGGAAAGTGGAAGTGTTGATGATGCAGTTTGTTGATTGGCACGGTAAATTGAAGACCTTGATTGAAAACTATGATGCCCATTTTTAATACTGATGAAACTGGCGTATTTTTCAAATGTTTACCGGACAAGACGCTTACTTTTAAAAATGAAAAATGTCATTGGGGCCATAGTAAAGAGTGGTTGACAGTTTTACTTGAAGTAAATATTGACGGATCGGAAAATCTTAAACCCTTAGTGATAGGAAAAACAATGAAACCGCGATGTTTCAAAGATGTGAAATCTGTTTTCTACAGATTATCAAGCTTGGATGACGACAGAACTTTTCGACAATTGACTTTTAACAGTTAATGGAGACTGTCCACAACAGTCCTCCTACTTGTGCAACATGGAACTCTATTTCTTTCCACCAAATACAACTTCCAAATTTCAACCATTCGACCATCCTTAATTTTAAGAGGTTCTATCACAAAGTAATTGTTAATCTCGTGTTAGAATCTCTCGACAAGCAGCTAACTACAAATACCACGGATCTGATAGCTATTTTACTGATTGACACGGTACGGAGAGGTGTAACACCCCTAACAATTCTCAACTGCTTCAAAAAATCTGGTTTCTTAGAAGAAGATCAGGAAAATGTTTCAATACTTATGGATGATGAAGAACTAGCAATAGAACCAATTCACTTAGAGATCAATGAAGGTTCTTTGAAAGAATAGCAGTATTGGAAAGACTGACTCACGAATTTATTAGTAGGCTTGCACATTTTCGGGATTGTGAACAGCAAGTATTTTTAACGTTTGAAGTGTTTTTTTTAATTAATGTTTTTATTGGTTTGGGTAAATAAATCATCAATCAGTGGCATTACAGCTCGTCATCAGCCAAAGCCTTCTTCAGAACAATCTTCCATTCGCCCCTGTCTCTGGCAATTCTTCTCCATGCTTTAACTCCGATGGATTTTAGGTCATCCTCTATGTATGTAGATGGTCTCTTGATGGTAGACCTAAGTTTTGGTCTTCCTCTGGATCGTCTTCCCACTGGTCCTCTTCGGTCGAAATTTTTCTGATTGTTGCATCTTCATCTCGCCTAATTACATGTCCTATCCATCGAAGGCGTGCTAATTTAATACATTTTACAACGTCAGATTCCCCAAAACTTCTGTATAACTTAAAGTTGTAGCGCCTACGCCCCAAACCCTGTTCTTGGACTCCTTCATATATTTTAGTCAGAATTTTTCTCTCGAAACGTTTAAACAGTTCTGGTCGTTCTGTGTAAGTGACCACGTTTCTGACCCGTATGTTAACACTGGCCTTATTGGTATTTTATATATGGTAATTTTACTGGGTAGTTTTGGGGCCATCTGTTTCCTCAAGACATAATAGCACTTTTTGGCAAGCACTATTCTTCTTTTAATTTCTTCGCTGACATTGTTGTCTTTGGTCAGCAGCGAGCCCAGGTAGACGAAGGTGTCCACACCTTGCAGTTTCAGAAGGTATCTGGTTGCCTGATCTGGTACAATACATATACTTGTGTTCTGTAAGTTTATTTTTAATCCCATTCTCAGTGCAGACGCTATTAATGATCGAAATGCTTTAATCAGAGATTCTGTGGACCTAGCAATAATGTCTATGTCATCTGCATATCCGACCACTTATACAGATTTATTAAAGATGGTACGATTCGTATTAATATGGCACTCTCGAATTACTTTTTCTTGTGCAAGGTTAAATAAGAGACACGACAGTCCATCTCCATGTCTCAGTCCATTTTTACAATGGAAGGGTATTGAAAAGTCGTTTTGGATTCGGACTACATTCTCTACGCATGTGATTGTAAGTTCCGTTAGTTGAACAATATGAAGCAGCATTTTTAATTCCACCATAGCCTGTAGAAATTTTTGTCTATTGACTGAGTCGTATGCGTAAGAGTCGTAAGAATCTGCTTGTCTGTGAAGATTTAATCTGTTGTTGATTTATTGGGTCGGAAACCGCACTGGTAGTTCCCAACTATTTGTTCAGCATATTGGATCGATCTTCTGTACAATAAGTTGGACAATACTTTATATGCCACGTTAAGTAGGTTGATGCCTCTATAATAATCACACACCATCATATCTCCTTTATTTTTGAAGAGGGTGAATTACCCCTAATTTCCAGGGGTAAATAAATTTACCCTTTCTTTAACTGTAAAGTGATTTATTTCTTGTTTTAACAATTTTTCTCTGCCAAACTTGATATGTATGAATTAAAAATAACGAGATCTTTTAAAGTCTGCATAAATATACATGGCGTCAGATGCGTTATGTCGTTGTACTTGCATGCAAACTTTCATAAATAGTAGGTTCCATATTTAATCTCAATTATGTATAAAGGACTTATTCTAATCAAGAAAAGAAAAACTTGACATAAACACTAGGTCCGCTAATTTCTGCACCTTTTTTGTCCTCCTGCATCCAATTGACTGATTTATTGTACAATACACTGGGTATTTCATAGTGTCACTTTGCCGGCTTGATTGTCTTTAGAAAGATTCCGGATTATGTCCGAACCAGTGCGGTACTTCGGGAGAGTACCGATCCGACTAAAAAGAGATTTTTTTAATGAAATTTCTTATCTCGGCTTAGTTTGAACGAAAAATTAGAAGGGACAGATTAAGGTGAGAAAGGAATGGAGAAAGCCAGTAAACCAATTTTACTTACAATGTTCAAGTAAAAAAAAATTCCGTTGAAATTACCAAAATATAGTGGTACATGCAACGTTGCCTTTTTGTGCAGATTTTTTTTATATTGCATAAATATAAAAAAAAGCAACATCGCAGAATTAATAATAAATTTCGCATTTACCAACATTAAAATTCAGGAATGTAGAAGTAAAATTGTGATTTGCTATAACTGATATGAAAATATTAAACTCAGTACGAATTAGTGGTTTTAATTTAGAATTATAGCTTGTATAAATCTTATATACTAAAACGCTAAACCCTTTTCTTGTCCACCACTTTACTCAAAAACCATATTAGATAATTAAAATATTTTTTTGGGAATATTATTAGTAGGTATTACGTATGAGATTGTCAAGATATACTTTTGGTACAAAAATTCACTTCCGGTTTTGAGCCAACAATGTATATATGGATCGAAAGGTCTCGTCGAGACGAATCTAAGTATGTACTTCCGGTTGCGATCCGACACCGGAAGTGACCCGAAACGCGCATAAAACGTCAAGATAGAGCAAATCTGACACCGGATTCGTGATCAGCATGAAAAATTAACTGCTAAATGATATCCATGTCGACTTTTTACTTGCATTATTATTGATGAATGTTATGTATATTCGTGCTTATATTGTTTGTATTGATCTCTTAATTTTTCTCGCAAAATAAAAATTTCATTTAAAAAACTGGATGTCGAGTTGGTCCGCTAGTATGTACCTATTTCTTTATACCTCTATACCTACATGTATTAGTATGTAGGTTTTATAAACATCATTCATTTGTCTTATCTTCTACATGATTTGCAAATATATAAAAATATACAGAACAATTTTAGTCACCAAATATTCCCTTTTTGTTTTTTTTTTATTATGTGATTGTGTAAATATACTTATGTTAAAAAATGGCAGCAGTCCGCAGCTAATATAGGTGAAAAAAAGAAAAAGGGAGAAGATATTGACGAGGCGACCCTACTCAAAGATTGGGATTTCGACAAATTTTTCCCTACGAAACTAGCCAATACTGCATCTTCATCTTCTTCTACTTCTAACAGTTCTGGAAATAAGAAAGAAGACAAAAAGCAGGGTCATAGACGAATGGAAAGCGATTCGAAAGTTTCAAATCCGTTCTTGAGGGGTTTCAGAAGAGAAAACTCTGATTTTTTCCCATTGAGTTCAAGACATTCGGCTATCTATATTGATAAAAATGCAAGATCTAGTGGTATATTTAACAATCGTAGAGGTTCTGATGTAGGAATTAGTAAAAAGACGACCGGTGAACCCGTTCTTATGGACTATGTTAAAAAAACAGATTCTCTTATCACTTCGACACCTAAAAAAGATAACAAC